TCAAGTCATGTCAGATTGGGTGTCGTTATCGACAAATTTGTTTTGTTGTTTCAAAAAGTTTTTGGTGTTACCTCAACATGTCACAAACATTAGGCGGGATTAAGCGAAATATAACCAAAAATTGCATTTCATCTGATCTGTTAAATATGTCCAAGACAGCAACAAATATCTATCTGTATGATGAATTTTAAAACAACAATTTTAATTTTACTGAAATGGACCCAAGAGGGAGTAGCATGCATAGGAGAATGCCTAGATATTCAATATTATTTCGGTATTGTGAAAATGCTCCAAATGTTCCACATACATATATTTTTCATGCAAATTAAATTGTCCTAGCATAATGAGATTTTTATGAAATTAACGTTGAAATATTGAACGGTTTGCAATATTATGAGAGATTTTCATGTTCTCTTAGAGTAATTATATGGACTTTTTCACACTATTCCATTCACATGTAAACATGGAAGAGTTCTTTGGAGATTCTTGTTTCTCCTTGTGGAAAATTTTTAGAGAGAGTGAGGTCTGTGCAAAATAACATTAATGATAATAAAGAAGGAAAGGAAACTCAAAGCAAAAGCAAAGAAAGCATGAAAAGAAAACAAATTAAACATAGAAAACCCCTTTAAATTGTGATAATTAATCTAAAGTACCTTCTATCTTCAGTACTTTCTTATAGAAAGGCACTGCCAAGCAAATTATGGAACCCAACGCCCATTTTGCCCTGCATGGAAACCACTTTAATTACAATAGATTATAAGAAGATTATATTAATCCATAGTAGGAATTAAAACTTAAAACAATTAAATCCCAAAAAATTACCACGCAGGAATATTGGGTGTAGGTAATCTTGGACCTCCGGGTGGAACCGAGCTATTGGTAGAGCTTGTCACCCTACAGTAACCCAACTCATTAGAACTATGGTCTCAAATACATATTTTCAAGAATGCGCATAATCAGATTAACAATAGGGTAAATAAAAAAAATCCATCCATACTTTGAGGAATGTCGGATTTAGATTCTTTCCAATTAAGTGGCAATTAATTAAAGTGCGTCCAATTATTCCAATCTCTACCCTCTATTATAATTCCCACATAGGATTTCCACTATTATGCATAATAGTGATTTTAAAGCCAATAGCGATATTGGAATTAAAGTGCGTACAATAGTGATTTTAAAGCCAATAGCGATTTTTAAAGTAATATTTAGAGTCCTATATGGCTTCATCTCATCCCTTGATATTGGAATGAATGATAAGGATCAGAGTAATTTGACATTCTCCGATTACCACCTATTGGAGAGGATCCCAATCCATTGGGAAAATCGTATCAAGTTTAAAAATTGACTTTTTATTATGTGTTTCCAAATTCGTGGTGAACAGTCATAAATTTTCCAATATAACAATCACATGATAATTTTTTATGATACAAATGGTTGTTATATACTATGATAGCATTGACTAATACATGGATAAATTCTGACATGCAATTGTTGCATCCATGTTAATTTCATAAAGATTGAAATAAAAGGGGATGATTTGTAATTTTTTAAAATTTTGAAGACGTACATCTCTTTGATTCTATTTGCTAGCTTGTTGTATCCTAAAAAATAGTTATAATAATCAAATCACAACTAAGATGCCTGGTTTCATCATTAAGAGTTGAACTATGAAATGTTTCATGTTCAGTTACATATTATATATATATCATCATAAAAAATTAAGAAAACACTAAATAAATATATATATATAATATCATCTAAAATTTATGTATGTATACATACTTTGGGACGACAGCTTTGCTCGATCCTCCTCCATTGGGTTCCATCACTCGACGGAATTGTATTTTCCGACGATGAGCGCGGAGGCGAGGCTTTGGAGAACAATAGAGAGACGAAGGTTGTGAGGTGGTTGAGAGGATGGAGAACACAAGAGAATGAGCCATACACAATCTTCAAGTTGCTTAATTGTTTTAAATTCTCACTTGTAAGTTGTAATACATATATATAATATTCTACATGAGAGATGTTGATGCTCATCGAATCGACGAATCATACTGTCTTGTTGTTATTGCAAGAAATGAAGATACAAGAGTTAAAACGATATTGTTATGCCTATATCGTGTTTTATTGTCTTGTTACTAGCTACAAGCAATATATAAGAATTTAAAAAAAAATTAAGGGTCGTGGTGTATAAATGAGTCTCCGTGGGCTAATTGGGAAATGAAAGTTTATAATTTATTGATTGATATGCAAAATGCAAAAAGTGATTAGAGTATAGGACACATGACTGTTGGTTGTGTGTAGAAAAATAAAAGAGAAACAAGACTCCCAGAAAGCTCCCTCCCTCCCAGATTTTATTAATGATGAATTTATTTGTTTTTTGTATTTGTTACAAGCTGTAGCAATGATATATGTCTCTTTTTATACAAGGAGAAGCAAATACAATTAAGTTAAGTGCTCAAGAAAATGAAACAAATAAAACTGCTAATCTCCTAAAGATGGAAAACAATCACAGTGAAATATCGCCAGATAGTATTCCAAAAATGCTTCTGCGCTAATCTCCTAAAGATGGAAAACAATCACAGTGAAATATCGCCAGATAGTATTCCAAAAATGCTTCTGCCAGCTTGTATGTTGCGCAACACTCCCCCTCAAGTTGATCCGTAGAGATCATTGGAGGTCAACTTGCTCTTTAATGCTTCAAAAATTCCCTTCGGCAATGGTTTTGTGAAGATGTCCGCTATTTGATCAGCACTTCGGATATATGTAGTTTCGATGACTTTGTTCAAGATCTTCTCTCACACGAAATGGCAATCCACCTCAATGTGTTTAGTCCTTTCGTGAAAAACTAGATTCGTCACAATGTGTATTGCAGCTTGATTGTCACAGAATAGTGTAGTAGGACTATTATCCGAATTGTGCCCCAACTCTTTAAGCAATAACCTTAACCAGATGATCTCGCTTGTTACCGCTGCCATAGCCCTATATTCAGCCTCTGCACTAGACCTAGCCACTACTGCTTGTTTCTTACTTTTCCAGGTAACTGCATTTCCTCCTACAAACATGCAGAAGCCTGTAGTGGACTTTCTGTCAAGCGGACTTCCGGCCCAGTCAGCATCAGTATAACCCACTATATTAACATGATCATGTTTTCTCATTAAAATACCTCTTCCTGACGCAGATTTTAAATACCTTAATATTTGATTAATGAGTTCCAAGTGACCCTTCATAGGTTTTTGCATAAACTGACTCACGTAGCTTACTGCATACGCTATGTCGGGTCTGGTAATAGTAAGGTATATTAATTTTCCCACAAGTCTTTGAAACATGCTAATATCTTCAAGGGGTTCATGATCAATGGTATTTTTTTGACTAAAGTCCATGGGAATATTGGCTGGTTTGGTACCTAACTTACCTATTTCTCTAAGTAGGTCCAAAACATATTTTCTTTGAGAAAGAAACAAACCTTTGTGGGAGCGAGCAATTTCAATACCCAGAAAGTATTTTAGATTACCTAAGTCCTTAATGTCGAATTCAAGACTCAGGTGATGTTGCAGGGTTTCTATGCCACTTAGATCACTTCCTGTAATCACCAAATCATCCACATAGATTAAGATAACAATGATACCTTTGTTTGAAATCTTAGTGAACATTGAAGAATCTGCCTCACATTTTTTAAAACCAAACTTAACAAGAGCCGAATTCAGCTTACCGTACCAAGCCCTTGGTGACTGCTTCAAACCGTAAATCGCCTTTTTTTAACCTGCAAATCAGACCACTCTCTCTCGGCACAGGTAAACCAGGTGGCAAGTCCATGTAAACTTCTTCTTCGAGATCCCCTTGGAGAAAGGCATTTCTCACGTCCATTTGAAACAGTGACCAGTCGTAATTTGTTGCGACCGACATGATAGTGCGGACAATATTCATCTTGGCCACAGGAGCAAAAGTTTCCTTGTAATCTACTCTGTAAGTCTGGGTATACCCTTTGGCAACTAATCTGGCCTTATACCGTTCTAATGTTCCGTCACTTTTGTACTTGATTTTGTAAATCCAACGACACCCATCAGTTTGTTTTTCATTGGGTAGTTTGACAAGATCCCAGGTTTGGTTTCGTTTTAACGCATCAAATTCATCGTTCATGGTATTAACCCAATTGTTATCTCGTTTGGCCTCCTCAAAGTTGTTTGGTTTAGAACCCTTTTCAATTTGGGTTAAGAAGGAATAGAACTTTGGTAAAATTTTATCATACCTAACAACTTCTTGTATTGGATATGGCGTGGTGTGATAAATCACAAAGTCTTGGAACTTGGCAGGTTGTTTTGTTACACGGGTCGATCTTCGCACAGGTGATGTTCCTGCATGCACTTGAACTTCTTCATTTTCGGGCCTGTTAGAATCTGCCATAGGGCTTCCACCTGATTCAGGCCTAGATGGCGTGTTCTCGTCTTCATGAGTTGGGTTTAGATCTTCATAGGTTGAATCTGTTCCATTAGTAATGCTAGGCCCATCACGAGTTTCAGAAAAATCGCTGATATCTTCTACCAACAGCTCATTTTGGCTATTTTTAATTTGGCTGGACGCATATTGGTGATCCACTGGAATTGCAGCGATCTGAAAATCTTTATATGCAGTTATCTCCCCCTGATTTTCTGTCGTATAAAATATTTTATTTTCATCAAACTGTACATCTCTAGAGACGAAAGCACATTTCTGTTTTGGGTCATAACACCTATATTCTTTTTGTGTGGAAGAGTAACCAACAAAGATACATTTTTGTGCATGTGGATCTAATTTCCCTGCATTTTGTGAATGTACATAACAAACACAATCAAATACACGCAAGTGAGACAAATTGATTTTTTCGTTGTATAGAATTTCCATTGGGCTTCGAAAATCAAGAATCCGACTAGGAAGTCGATTTATCAAATAACACCCAGTGAGGACGGCATCGGCCCAGTAGGTTTTAGGTAAATGGGCTGAAAAAAGCAAGGCACGAGTTATTTCAAGTAGGTGTCGATTTTTTCTTTTAGACACGCCATTTTATTGGGGAGTACCAACGCATGAAGTTTGATGCATTATACCGTTGCTACGCAGGAAAGTTTGAAAAGCATGATTCAGTTATTCGGTATCGTTATCGGTTCTAAGAGTTTTAACTTTTCTATCAAATTGATTTTCAACCATTTTGCAAAAGAACTGAAATTTCTCACATACCTCCTTTTTGGATTTGAGAAAATATAACCAAGTTGCAAGGGATTTATCGTCAATAAACGTGACGAAATATTTAAAACCCTCTTTAGATTCCACAGGTGCATTTCCCCACACACCAGAATGAACAAGATCAAACACATCATTAGATGTATTAGAATGCTCAGGAAAATGTAGCTTATGAAGCTTAGCAAATTGACAAAGTTCACAGTTATTGAAATCATGAATTAAAGACAATTTTAAATGTTTCAAGACTTTGTCAGACGAATGGCCTAATCTCTTGTGCCAGAGTTGAGAAGAGGCTGCATTTACTGTAGAGAGTGTCAACTGATCCAGCTCTAATATGTATAATCCATTGACTAGGCTACCTTCACCAATCGTCCTCCCTGAACTTCTGTCCCGAAAGACTACTTTCATAGGAGTAAAAAGAACATTGCAACCCAGTTGATTAATACATTTACTGATGGATAGCAAATTTGCCTTTAAATATGGTACCACGGTAACACCTATATCTTTTGAAAAAATACGAGTTGTTCCTATTCCTTTTATAGGTATTACCAGACCATTTGCTATAGTAATATGTGAGTAACTTGTTCTGGGTTGGAACTTTGTTAACAATTCACTGGAGGTGAACATATTATCGGTGGCTCCTGAGTCTATAATGATTTTTGGAAAAAAAGTAGAGAGAGCAGAAGCATTACCAGTATGTTGAGCAACATGGGACTCTCCACTTTGACCAACATGAGCCAATTCACTGTCAGTGGTGCACTTCTTCATTAGAAAGTCGATCTGTTTAGTGATATGCTCCAATTTATGTTGAATACCATCATTCTCAGAATTTGCCGCCATATTTGACTCATTAGACCGATTGCGTAAACGCTTGAGGTGAGGATGTAACACATAGAACCTCTCTTTGGAGTGTCCACTTTGATTACAATGGTCACAGAAAAACTGAGCTCCTTTCTTATCCTTTCCCTTGGTCCATTTGTTACTGTCATCAGTTTTAAAGCTAGCTAGAAGGAGCAGTTACCCTTTTTCCCATTACTCTCTTGCGGGTCTCTTCACTCTGGATGATGGCACACACAGAGTTGAGTGATGGCAATTCTGGTCGCATCAGAATCTCTCTTCTTACTTCTTCATAATCGGAGGTAAGACTAGACAGAAGGTAAAAGATTTGCTCCTATTGCTCTCGTTTGATGTATTCCATCATTGTTGTAGCAATGGGTCGGTACTGACGAAGCTCTTCCCACTTCTGCTTGAAGGCTCCAAAGTGCTCCAGAAAGGACTGATCTTGTTCTTGTTTAAGAGATGAGATACTTTGCTGTATTTCAAAAACTCGAGAAGAATTGTTAGCATTTCCATACATTTCAAAAATAGAATCCCACAATTCTTTAGAATTGTTTGTATAGGCAAAAATATCGTAGAGTTTCGGTTCTATGGAATTTAGGATCTGTGACATAACCCGAAGATCATTCACTTCCCACTCAGCGTCTTTCCTCTCTTGCTCTGTCTCTGTTGTTGGCGTTTCACCTACAGTCTTAGTTCTGCCAAGGATGTGCTCAAGCTTAGACCGCTCTCCAAGTGCCAGTTTGATGGCTCAGGCCCAATTTAGGTAGTTATCACCATCCAACAGAAAATTGACAAGGGATTTATTAGGCTTTTCATGATTTTCATCAGCCCTGTGATCAATTGGTAAAAACACAAATATAAGGGGTGAATGTGTAAAAATAACTCTGACAGTACCAGAGAAG